GGCGTAGTTCGCCGGTGCATGTTGTTGCTCATCTTCCAGCTACTGCTCTCTTGGTCGTCCTCTTCGGCAAGCCCCTGGGATTTCCATTCGCGTGCGTCCAACTAGCCCCTTCTCGTGGATGCGCTGCTCCCTTCTTCTTTTTGTTGGCACTTCTCCTCTGTCTGTTTTGTTTATCACATATACCAGATTGTGGTGGCCGGTCCATCCACCCAAAGCCGCGCGCTTCATCTCAGACACTTCCGCACAAGACACATGGTAGCGACAGCTGGCATTGTAGGAACGGCTGTGCTTCTTGGACACTGTGCCAGGATTGCAAGCGTCGTGCTGCGCTGCTTGCTGACTAGGTTACGGCTGCTTTTCCTTAGCATGTTCCTCAGCGTCCGTTGTACCAGTATCTGGCTCTTTCCTTCCTAGCTGAAGGGCTTGTCTCGCTGTTGTCTGCCATGGCTTGATGTCTCTAGATTCTCCGAAATAAGCGCCTAAAAACCACAGCCCTCGCAGCAAGATCCACTGGGCACCAATTCGTCACACGGCAACCCCGACGAGAGAAACCGAGAAACCTCACAGATTTCGCACCACGAAATGCTCAATCATCAAATCACTCTCCCCCGCAGTGCAGGGTTCCATGGAGGGCGCTTACTGAAGTGTGCAATCAAGACCACTGCAAGACAGTATGAGTTGCAGCAGACTTTCGCACATTCACATCCGACGGCTTTCCATGTAAAGCCACCAGAGTCGAGTCCCCCGTTAGCAGTGTATTCATCCCCGTGGAGGGGCTCCCCGCAAAGCTGGGCTTGGTCTAAGCAGGTCCGGTATGCGCAGGCAAGAACTTTGGATGCGAAGGGCCCTTGCCCAAGCTGAGCCCATTTCCAAACCAAACAAATTATGCTGGCTGTCTAGAGTTTATGGTTAACTGGCTTAGGCTTCCCTTGACCAAAGGTGTTTTTTGAGGAGAGCCAACTTCTAAGGTATCTTTTGCCAGTGAGAAGTTGCCATTAAGGAAGCAGTTGGGTGGTTGTCATTAGAAGGCTATCTTCTTGCCAGGACAAAGGGCTTCTGCAGGAAAACCATCATTCTGTAAAGGAAAGCCATCTAGAGTTTTTTGGAACCGCTGCAGTTTCTCCAAACGGTGTTTTTTTCTTTTTCGACTGGTCCTTCAGTTGAAAACCCAATCCTGAAGTTGCTTCCTGAAACCACATAAGTTTCGAAGCAAGCTGCAATGAGTAGAGTGGAGTGGATTCAAGGCGAAGACGTAGACCTATAGGACCCAAAGTCCGATTCAGAGGGAATACATGGTTTAGGGGTATTTACAGAGTTTACGGGGGGCTGGTGGATCATGGCGGGTGTGTGCATACATGTCCATACATATGCATATGTTGGCTGCCATGTTATCAGGCGAGAAGTGGAGCCGAACCTTCGAGGTGGCTAAAGGCTCCTCTGTCAAGGACCTCCAACGCCAGATGGCCCCGGAAGAGGCGAAGACTTTTGCCTAATTCTATGAGGTTTTGTCCGAGCTCTCCGCAAACGTAGATGTAGACTTCCGCAGGAAATGTGCCCAAGAAGGGTTGAAGGGACAGGCAGATTGGAGAAATGCACTTCCGCCATGAGGAGACACCAGCTGATCCGGAAGCCTCCATCGGCCCGGAGCCTTCCCTGGTGCACCCCGAGCCATCGATGGTTCACACTGAGCCATCCTACGTCCGCACAGAGCTCTCCTACATTCGCCGCGAGGCGTCGGCGATCCGGTCCGAGCCATCCGCGGTCCACTCTGAGCCATCGGCTCGGCCCGCACGTTCGAGAGCCTCAAGCGCTGATGACTTGCTGGTGGATCTGGAGCCGGAGCTGCTTAGAGGAGTTCCCATTCATCTTTGCCTCGGACGTTTTGGCAGGGAATGGAGTCAAGCAAGTGGGCCAGGAGCGCTGAAATGGCGGCCTCACCTTTCCAGGCAGACCACAAAGTTCACATATTTCTTTAGCCATGACTGGGGTACCTCGCGATGGCGGAAGTATTTGACCTTGCTGGTGTACTTCAACAGCTGGCCGACCGCCTTGGTTTCTTTTGCTCTCGGCATGTTGTTGGGCATGTTGAAGTTGGCAGGAATCCTGACGAACTCGGCTTGGTGGATTGTTGCTCAGCATGTTTTTTCACTGTTCGTCCTATTCTTCTGGCAGCATTTGCGTGAGTTTTTCTGCCCAGCCCGACTTGCCTTCCTGGATCGGTTATGCATACCTCAACATGACGAAGAGATAAAGAGTCGGTGCATCTATGGGCTAGCTTCCTTCTTGAACCATTCTGACAATTTGGTTGTGCTGTGGTCACCGCGGTACTGCAGTCGACTTTGGTGCATGCCCTCTTGGCGTGGTAAAGTAAAGCTTCCTTGACTTTTTGTGATGGTTGAAAGGCTCCACCCAAAAGAGTGTCTGCTCATTGTGCGGGTGTCCAGGTACGAGATGGCTGCCTTCTTGCTGAAGAAAAAACAGTCGAAACGGATCCAGTTCCTGCCCGTGCAGATGTCCGTTCTCTGGTTCCTATGCTACATGAACCTGGCAAGCATATTGGCAACGGCCCTTGTCATGCAGAGGTTGGGGCCCCGTGTGTTTGACTGGAACAAGCCCGAGGGGATCACGGGCATCCTGTTGGTGACCATCTCTCAGTGCCTTGTCCCCATCACCATTGCACTTAGACTTGGCATTGTATGTAATCGGGGCCGACAGTTGATGATTCTGATGCGCCAGGATCTGGGTCGTTTATCCGCTTTTCTTCTACCTCATGACGGACATGCCCTTTGGAATGGCAGAGCTGCCAAGGCCAGGATTGTCCAGGAAGATTAGAAGATGGCTAGGAGGGTTGCTTTGTTGGGTTCATCCGTTCTGCTTGCAGGCTGTGCTTTGGGTGAATTGAGATTGTGCGAAAGGCAGCTACAGGGCTTTCAGCTCCAAGACGCACAATGCTTCTGCTGCACGAACAACCACGCTCACCCAGTCCCATGGCTGCAAGAAGAGAAGAGTATGTTTCGAAAGGTAGGCTTCAGCAAGGTGACGCCTCAGTTGTCAGGTGACCGGCGAGCCATTGGCTTGTGACCGCCAACTTATTTACAGTGTCTTGCAGCGATGGTCAGGCTGGGATTCAGGAACATTCCGGTAAGAACTGAAACCTCCCCTCCGCCAGGAATGCGAACACTGGCTTTGGAGGGTTTTCTGGACGAGGACCGCCGCAAGCTCAGTGGTGTTGAAGGCGGGATGTTCACAGCCTCTGCAAGGGCTGGACGTATTGAGCCCTCAATTGGCTTCATTTTTTACCAGGGCACGGCCTTTGCGGCTCTGGCTTCAACCTCCCCCTTCGTTCTTCAAGCGGCTATTGGTTCTGCAGTTTCGCCGTTGCATTGCTCGTACAAAAGCCGGCGATTCACGAAGCAGCAATTCCAGAACCCGCTGCCATGATTCCATAATTTTGGGAACCATACCCATCAGTTGATGGTGCATCTAGCCTCCCTCTGGCATCGGTGCTTCCCTGAGTGGACCTGCTAACTGAATTAAGACTTTCATAGCAGTTCTTTGCGGGGCAAGGTTAGTCTTCTCGAGCCAATGCGTCGTTCGCCGTCGTTCGTTCATTTCCAGATTTTTTTTGCTTTTCGCAGCTTTGCAACCTTTTCGTGGCTTTTGCTGGCCGCTGACTGCACTTTGGTTTCGCTCTCATTGGCTATCTTTGCTCGATTCATGTGGCGGTGGGAAATTACATCAGAAGCTTTGTTGACCAGGAGAGGAAGGGCGCATGCCACTAATTCCCAATGATTCTACTCTAGTGAGGGTACTTTTTTGAAAAAAACGCTAGTTCAGTCTGCTCTGCTATCTCATCCGCCCACATGGTGCCACATGGATACACCTGAACAACAGATTGGGGCCCTACACCTCCTTAGTTTCTGGAGCCGGCCCGATGACATTTCCATTTCGCTTGGGGTTTAGGGGTTTAGGTTTTGAGGGCTTAAAGCTTTAGGATGTAGGTTAGGATGTAGGCATTCAGAACGCCTGTCCTCGGAACCCGCCGAGATTTCATAGCGAAGCCCAAGCCTGAAGTTTTTGTTATCAGCCAGTGACGCAGGAGGAAGTGGAAGAACTTCAAGAAGTGTTCAACAATCACGTGCAACAGCACTTGACGCCCTCAGTGGAGCGAACATTCACAAGCAGTGCTTTCCTGATGCGTCCGTTTGTTTGTGCAGCAGTGGCCGCTTTCTGCCCATTTTTGTCGGATTTCGTTGCCAACGAATTCTTCAGGCTGTTTGAGACTTCCTTTCGAGGAAGTGCAATCCAAAATGCAGGATTTCCCATCTACTTCTTCTTCGCACTTCTGTGCTTACAGCGAGTGATCTTGGGCATAGCACAGTTGGGGGCACGACGCTGGGGACCTTCACGAAGCAGACGCCTATGTGTGATTCTTTGCCAAGTCTTGGCATTCTCAGTGGTGGCTTTCATCATTGCACCAGGATTTGCATTGTGCGCTGCTTTGGGAGGAAAGAATCTTCTGGCATACAAAAGGCGGAGCATGCTACCATTCATACCAACAGGAGTATTGATGATTTGGGGCATATATCTACTACGTCCTGGTCAATGGATCCGTGCATCAGATGTTATCGGCGGCAGTCCGAAGAGATCTCACAGAAAAGCAAATGCCCCCAAGCATGAGGCATGAAGGGTGGAAATTGAATAGGAAGATTGCTTTGTTTCGTTGTGTGGTTTGCTCCCTGCAAGGTGAGCAACCGTGAGCGGGAGATGGACATGCGTTCTGATAGCTCTGACAGCTCTTGTTTTGAGATCTGACCGGGCGATCTTCGGCTGCTCGCAGGTAATTGCACAATGTGCGAGATAATGCTTGCATCCTCCCTGCAATAAAGCTGCACCTCAAGGTGAAGAGGATGTAGCGCGGGAGCGGAAGACTTCCGTGCGCAACACCGCGCAACTGCAGAGCAATTGTGCAGGTAAAATAATTCTCAGAACCCGGCAGCACGTCTCGACATGTGTGGGCTTGCACACAGAGGCTTCTGGCCGGGGCTTGCCATCATGATCTTGCTACTGATTGGTATGAGGCTTTCCAAGGTGTGAAAGGTGAATCTAGTTGCCAAGCATTGATTTCAATGTTCTGGATCCGTGTTCGTGTTGTTCGGACGGAGTGGCCGATCATCATGATGCTTTAGTTGTACAGACGATGAGGTCCTTCTGAGTCCCGTGCTCGAAACTCAAAAATGGGACATCAGAACTCCTTTGCAGCGAAAGGCTGCACAGGTTGTGCTTCATTCGCAGCCTCGCCAAGGTTTGCGCAGATGGCTGGAACAAAGTCGCGCAAGTGAGCCTAGCCCAGTGCAAGTGGCAAAGCAGCGTAACGAGTCTGTCCCATCATGTCCCATCTTCCAAGCTGTTTAGATCTGTTTGTGGCTTCTTCCTTTCCGGTTTTTGTACGCTGTGACGTGACCAGGCCGATTGGATCCAGCTGTATCGGCGCGCAGCGTAGATTCAAGCTTTTGCAGGTTCGAGGAGATGCTTAAATTCAATTTGAGAAGATTTGCCTCAAAGCCTGCTCTGGTTTCGGTCACAAGCTGCATAGCGGAGTTGTCAGAAAGTTGTAGGCCCGTAGACTCATTCTGCCCTGGGATCGCTTGTAAACGCCATCATGCACAGCGTTGCAATCCAAAGCCTTCCTTTATCTCTGTCCCAGGTTTGGTAGACCGGTGGATGCTGGCGAGGTGTTGAGCAAGGCATCTGCCCGTGGTCGATGCTGTCAAAAAAACGTTTGCCTTGCTGGCTTGTAGTCTGAAACTCGAGGCGACACGGTTTGACTTCGCGTCGTGCCGCCATGTTTGGCTTGCTTGTCTGGGAAAACCTTGCTTTGGTGCTTCTGCATGCAGTACACCATGTCCAGCTCTCTCATCGGCTGAGCTGGCCTTTTTACTGCAAAGCAGCGCCAAGCAAAGCTGCAGTTTCCGCCCACCAGCTTCGGTGGCTTCAAAGCCTGCACCGCTACGACCCGAGGCACAGTGTCCTTGGTAAGGGTATGCTGCACAAATCTAAAATTAGTGAGTTCTTAACAGCCCGTCTTGTCATTCTCCCATCTGTTGGCAATAGCACGCTTGCACACAAGAGCCTTCCTCAGTCCTGCAGGCAGCGGGAGAGAGTTGGAAGGGTTTCGCAGAGGCGCCAACAGTCAGGTTCGCAATGGGGATTGATAGACCCGGCTAATAGATTCACGCGGCAGCGTGTTAAGCTTTTTCAGTAGGCACCTGTGAGGCACGTGTGTCTGGCATTGTCTGACATCCTCGAGCTGTGCGTGTTGAATTGGCATGTTACGCATCAGCAGGCAACCAGGAGCAAGCAAAAAAGTCCGAATGTGGATTGGAGTTGCTGACAAATTTGTTGCTGCAGGTACGAATTCACGTAGACCATGCTTTGGAGCTGAGTCACCTGATGTCGGTGAAGGAGGCTTGCTGTCAGTGGCGAGTGAAGCCTAGACTGTGAGACCAGGTGCAACCACACTGCAGAAAGCTGACCGTTTCTGAAGGATTCGAGTACCTTTCCACAGAAACCGTGCCGGCCAGGGTACCACCATTGACGAATTGAAGACAACTATGGCATCTGCCGACCCGACATCAACCTCGCGCTGTCAGGCGTGTTCCGAAACATAGATTATTCGTGGACGCCGACATCTGCTGCATGCAGAACATAGTGTGTTCAGCAAGTGGGGATCGACTGACTGTGCCGCCCAGAGATGTTTTCGAGGATTTCGAGCTGTGCATCACCGGGGGTCCTCGCAAGCCGCTGGCGGGTGACGTGGTGCGAAGCTTGTGAAGCTCCTGTTCCTTCACTTTTATACTTACGCTTGACCGGCTCTGCTGAAAGCTGCTGAGGTCTTGTCGGACGTGGGGCGGCTTCCTCAAAGGATGTTGAACTCCTGGTGATTGCAGTTTTCAGTGTTCGACATTCATTACCTTTGCACGGTGGGGCACAGGACAGGTCATCTTGTTGAAGGGACATGTAGATTGAAGTAGGATTCACGGTGAGCGCATTTAGGCTAGGGTTGAGGTAAATGGGAGCTGCGTTTGAATCTGTAAACGACATCAATTTGGCAAACTGGCTTGCAAGGCTCTGGCAGTTGGACTTGCTGCCTCCATGAAAGGGCCCGACTCCTTTTTCCGAAGCCTTAGCTCTTACAATCCCTGTCTCACAGAAGCATCACCATGTCAATATGTGGGAATTTTATGGTATCTTTCTTGTCTCAGAGCCGCTAGAGTTTCACCAAGACATGCGTGGGCATAGTCGCACAGTGACACCAAAATTAAGACTTGGCTGTTTTGCTTGAACAGAGTCTTCGATATGTTTCAGCAACTGCTGTGTGTAAGCTTTTTTGACGAGATCTGCGAGCAAACCACCACGAGCCCGACCGAAACACTACTATGTAGCTGCGAGCGAGTTCATTTTTGACGTTAGAGAGTTTCGGGCTTTCATTTAGAATTTAGAGGCATCTGCGACATTCATTTCTGCTCTGACGGCATGTCTTTCACACGGACAGACGCTGTACATGTTGAGCAGCGGCAGCTACCGGCGTTGTGCAGGATAGAGCCCAGTTCTCACCGTGTGCGAACCAACTCATCAACTGCTGCCTACTATCAAAGACAGGCAGTTTCTTGAATATTTTGCTCTTGGCCTAGCGTGTTTCTATCTAGTAGCTGAAGCATTTAATTTCTTCCTGCCATGGATGGCCATGCCTCGTCCCTAGTGAGTGAATGTTGACACGCGAGATAGCGGCTGAGACAGCAGGGCAACAGAACGTCCGTACTGTCAGTCACTTACAAGCCAGTCATGTATGGAAGCAGCACGAGACTTCGCAGAAGCAGACTCATTGGCTTGGGCCCCATGAAGAAATCTGACAGTTCTGAAAACCAGGCAAAGATCGTGGCTTTCAGATGCGTCCGATGTCCGGGACGAACTGGTCCCCTACAGCCCAGCTTGTGTTGCCAGCCGGAGACTTGGAAGAACTGAATGCAGGTTGGTGTCGCTTGTGGTCTATGTTTTTTGGGCAACGGAAGCTGTCAAGCCAGACGCTCACATTGCTCTTCAACAAGATTGATCGATTCTGCTCAGTGGCACTTCTCTGCGCCTCTTCGATGGTGACTTAAGGTTGCGCGCATGGCAGTCTTCTTGGTGTTTGCCATGGATGCTAAACGATGCTGCTTATCATGCTGTCATTGCGGATTTCATGCCCACTACTTCCCGGAATTGCTCGCTTCCCCTTAATTTCAAGACCCCCCCCTGATATGATATTTAAGTAAGGGGCCTTAAAATCCCATAAAATCCCAAAGAGCATACCTAAAGGACAAGACTACTTTAAAAGGGGCCGCCTAATAATGAGTTCGGGAATCTTTAAGTATAAATTTAAATATTCAATTGATTAATTACCAATATAACTGAATGTATTCCAGTAATTCATTAATTGATTTAACTGATTGATGGTTGATTTTCCACGGAGGTTAAAAGGCTGGCAAAACGCATACCTATCTAATTCTTTCAATGAACCCACCTTTTTGCCCCAGAAGGTTTCAGAGCATCCCCCCATGCTTCTAAGATTGTAGGCGCTCGACTAGCAAACCGCTTCGGCTGGTCCGATCGCAGAGTCTGAGCCCAGGCCGCGTTGACCGGCTGGGCCACGAGCTCGCCTCTCAGCCTCTCAGGCCATCAGTGCCATTCACTGCCAATTGCTATAAAGACTCTACCGAGCAGAATCCACGCTCCCAACATTTTCGGGCTTTGTAGAAGCGCAGAGCCCAAGGCTGATCTGCTTTGCGCACTTGGCCAAAGCGCGGCCTCTCGGTCTGCAGTGGTTTGCGTCTGGCACGGCCAAATTGGGGATTTCGTGCTTCCATGCCTTTTTCAACATCTTCCAAGGTTGCTGGCGGCTTCTGGTTCCATGGGCCCGCTCAGCTGTGGGCTTTGCTTCTTGCTGATTTGTGATATTCCGAACCCTCTTTCTTGATTGATGACGCATGGTCTCCATGACACCTGAGGTCAGTGCCGTGATGACCCGGCTTGGCAAGTGCCTCGTCCGTGCGTCTCGGGCCAAGCTTTCAAGGCTTCGTGTCAGCGGTCCCACGCCCTTTTTTCGGACCCATTTCTGGAATGTGTTGGGGGGGTTGAGGACATGTATATATATATATGTATGTATATATATCTCTATATATATATATATGGAACACGTGCTTTTGCTCCACTGAGTCTGTCTGATGTAGCCGTTTGCTCTTTTGTAGTATTCTGGTGTAGTAGTCTTTGTAAGAAAGGGGATCCTAGTAGGTGGGGCATGGTGGGGGCCTGGTTGCCAAGCCTGCAGAAAGCCAGCTAAACGCTCCACCCCAAATGTGCGCCCAGCTTTTTGTGGGTGGAGCCTTAAGCCGGCTTTTGCAGAGTGGACCGTCCTAGGAGTGCGGAAGGCCGCCTAACGCTCCACCCCAAGCACGACCAGCTCTGGGATGGGGGGGCTTGATTGGCTTTCATGTTATTATCTAGGTTACTAGAATCCGCACCAACCCCCGTCTCCGGACCTGTTCATGATTTGTTTTTCAAGTTGGGAACGGGCTTGACTGACTCTTCTGTTTTTGCTGGCCCCAGCTGATTTGCTTCGATCTCTCTCAAACACGCTGTGGAAATACCTCGGGGTTCACGCTGTGCACATCGCGCCTATGTCAAAAAGTGCCAACTTCTTTGCAGCAATGAGATTTGCGAGGCCCTGTATGTGATGTCATACGATCCATTGCGATTCCACAATGCGACGTGCCACCCCAAAGCTGTCTTACGAAGAATAGGTCCCTGGACATACTTCTCCTACCCCTCCACCCCACCCTCAAGCCCCGTTCCCGAAAAAAAACAAGAATTTTCACCAAGTTTATGCCCCTCTGGCATTACATTGTCTTCACACTTGAACTTGTGAGTTGCGTCAAGAGCACGCAGAAAGCAGCTTCAGGTCCCCAGCGCACGACTGCCACCACCAAGGGTTGCTAGTCCCGGCACAGGCGATGCAGGATGTGATTATTCTGTCGTATTGAATTGCACTGTTGCGCCTCATGGAATCGCATGACGTGTTGCTGGATGTTGTCAGTCAGTGTTCCTCAGACCTTCCATGTCCTTGCATCAGGTGCAAAGGAGCCAGTGCCAACACGGCTAGAGGTGGGTGGGAATATGTGGCTGTGTTGTGGTTGTTGCTGGTGATGGTGGTGTGTTGGCGGCGGGCGTGGTTGTGGTATTGCTAGCGTTGGTGAAGGCGGCGCTGCCAGCTGTGCTTGTGTTGGGGAGCTGTCGGTTTTGAGTAGCTATGGTGCTTGCCTCGCAACGCGATTTGTGTGCCCAAAGCCTGGGGCGGAAGTGGAGCACAGAGCATGAGGGCAAGTAGCCTGATCTCCTGACCTTGCCAGCTTGATCGCCTTTTCAAAATAAACCTGAAAGCTGAGCAGTCGTGCAATGGCAACAGAGAATTCCACAAACAAACACAGTTTTAGAACAGCCTTCAAAGTGTGACAGGTAGAGAGCTCTACTGCTGACCCAGGACTACCTGGGTTGTTTTGCAACGCTTCTGTTTTGAACTGCGACGATGCTGGGTTTTGCTCGGTTCATGCAAAGTGAAGCTGAGGCATGCTGTGATCGGCGATAATTTCAGGGCACGGTGAAAAGCACAGTCCTGTTCAGGTGGCCAGGCAAAGGCACTTTCCACTTGTTCAGTCTGTCTTTACCATAGACCATAGCAAACACTGCCCCAAGCTTGGACAGAAACTCCGGAGCCACCATGGACGCCGGTGTCCGAGTGCTCACGATCGAATGAGGCCAGCCCAGGTCTGGTTGTATGGCTGACTCGCCAGCGCTGCCATGAGCTGTTTTTGCTTATGATGCAGGGTTGCTTCAAGATATCAAGGTTGTTTCTGGACGCTTATTCCATGCACGAGGCCCTCCGTAGTTGTATATTCTTTGCTCTCCCAACTTTTCACCGTTAAGTTTTAGCGCTTGCAATCTTACAAGCAAAGGGACGAGGCCTGGCTCAGAGCTTGCTGGGCGCATGGCTTGCCAATTTTGTCTTCTCGGTAGCCGCGAGGCTCAACGATTTTCCTAGCAGGCATTCATATCCCTGAGCCGTCTACAGCTTTGATGAACATATTGTGCTGCTCCTCGGACGCTGCGTTAGTTGGGTTGCTTTTGAAGGTGGCCAGGAAACCTTGCAAAAAACATCCAATTCGACGGAGTAGAGGATTCAAGGAACGTGCCATGCTGATGTGCAGCTCCTGTGGGAAGTGCAGGGGTGCATTGTGGGCTTTGTTTAATTACTGACCGCCTTTGGCCCTTTCCGCTTGACTGCAAATTTGCAAGCTACCAGTTTCGCTTAGTGGGACTTGGCCGAGTGGGAGACTCCAAAGCTACTGGCCTGATCCGTTGCTACTCAGGATGGTCACAGTCTTGCTCTGGGCAGCAACTCTACTTGTCTTCGCCTTAGCTTCGAGTCTTGAATCCAAACGCCTTGATCGCAAGCCTAGGCGACCGCTCCCCAGAAACAGAAGAAACTCATTTAAGTATTGGTCTTGCTTGGTATGAAGGGCCATCTACCAACAACCGACCCTGGTGAACCCGGCAAGTTCTTAATGCTTACAATGTACAATGCGCAGTCAGGTCCTTGCAAATTCAATTGGCCCAGACGACAACAAGGCATGCGTAGCGCCGGCCCGCACCAGCCACCCATGCTTCAGTTTGGCTGACTGAATTTGCAATTTTACATATGGTCAACCACGTAGGTTGAGCAGCATTGCTTATTCAATTCTTTGGCCAAGATGCAATAGGGTGCATGAAGTGCCTAGCAGGTGTAGGAAGCTTTGCCTCAGGCCGACTTGAGCACGAATGCCAGCGCCCCTGCAGCACCAGCACGGCGCCTCTTGCTCTTTTGGCCTGTAGACAACGCCAAGAGAACTGTGGCACAGGCTGCTCAGCCTGAATAAGGGCAAAACTCAATTCCCCGCATGCTTGCATTCGGCATGGCACCGTGCTGCAAGACTTGTTTCCTTTCTAGTGATTTACCCCGCGCATCGTGAAACAGCGTTCAAGCAGACGCTCCCTCCTTTCTAAGCCTGCCTGATTTCGGTACATCATAGCATACCTGAGAGCCTAGACAACGGTTTTTGCACCAAATTTCTAGCATGAAAAGAGCCTCGGAAGCTGCTTGCTTCCGTGACTTGCAAGTGAGCTAGAGTTGCCAGAGAGTTTTCTTTGTGACAAGGTAGACACTAGAGACTTGCTTATTATGCTTCAGCTCAAGGTGAAGAAGAACGTGCAGTACATCCGGTCTCCTGGCAGATCCTGGCAGGTCTAAGTGCTCTTTTTCCTTGACATCATCACAGCTCGTTCCGAACCGTGCGAAGGAAGGATGCACAAAGCTTTCGGATTGCAGAAAGTCCTGAGATGCTCTGAACATGCTCAGCTTGAGGTCTGTTCTCGGCGATGACTGCTGCCACGTGATGCTTGCTCACTATAAAGGCCCATCTTTGCATGTTTCTGGATTGCCGCGCATAGCTCTCCGGAGCCTATCCGACAGTTACTTCCAGTAGTCACTCACCCTCTTGTGTGTTGCAAAGACGGATGTTGCAAGCAAGAGCTCCATGATAGTGCCGCTGTGAGGCAATCCAATCGACTGGGGTTCGCAGTGGTACAGGGACAACGTGAAACAAAGCTACACCGGCCCAGGCCGGCCTTGTGTGCAATGCAAGTAGGCTCAGATATGTACGCTGGGTGAGGACTCTGTGTGTTAGATTTTGGAAATCTGAAGTCAGATAGTCTTCAGAAAGATCAGGGCCTGAAGCGGCCACATGTCGCCTTTCAAGGATTCAAGTTCAAATTCATGCGGGATGCCTATATGAAGGCGAAGAACACCGAGGACTCAGTAGCTTCTAGTCCGGGACATCCAAGCATCCAGCAAAAACGAAGTGGTTCGATGGGGATCAGGAGAGCTGGGAGTCGACGTACGAGTATGTTTGGGGCTTGGACAGTGACTTGGATATCACAGGCGCGATGTGCTCATAAATTCACTGCTTTGCGAAAAGCACCGGCAAGCAAAGGCGCACGGGCCGCGTCAGTGAAGAAGATGCCCAAACATTAGCTCGCCCTGCGTCTTGTGCATGAGTGCATTTATGCAGACAAGCATGCAAGAGCTTGATGCAGCCGCGGCAGGCACCAACCTGACAAAGCTGTTGGGAATGGCGCGCCTGTCCAATTCCCTGATCGTTGGCCCTACCTTTGTTGGCAAAGGAGACCTTTTGTTCACTGCATGCTGGCATGTCCTCTGAAGTCTTCCTCGCATATCTGCGAGGAGTCACCTGGGTGAAGCCTTCATTCGTGCATGGCAAAAAGATAAGAAAGAAGAAGGCATTGAGATTGTTAAGTTTTGGGCAGCTTCTTAGGATGAACTTTGTAGCGTGTGCTCAAGTTTGGGTATGCTGCATGTCCTCTTCCCACAAAGCAAAGACACGGGTAGGAGAGTTGCAGCCTGAGGCATGGAGGTGTGACATCATCTCAGTGTTTGTATAACAGTTCAAGAGTTACCGGGCTAGAAGGACATGGAGGAGCTGCAGTCCTGATTGATGTGACAGACGAATCCATGCATTTTTTTGCTCTGACCGTGCACCAGAAATCGTGTTTTTTCCCAGTGTTGTCGCAACAGCGAGGGGGAGACAGAACATAACCTGTACCCGCCAGGCAGCCAAGCATGCGCCCAAGGGTCCGAGAACGCACGCTTCCCATGCGCAGAAGGCGAGTTAGGACTGCATTATTGAAGCTATTGGCATAGGTGCCCGAGTAAACTCGACTAACCTTTTGCAAAGCACGCGTTTCTTTTTTGACTGGCTATCCTATCCCATGCCTGGTTAGCCTTGATGCACGTTGAAAGGTGGAGCCGCAGCATGTGGACGCGCAGCGGCGCTCCCAGCGCATCCTATGAGTAGAAAACGGAGTCCTGGAAGAGAGAGAGTCGCGGGGATCAGCTACTGCCCAGGTCCAGCAAGGCGTCCTCCCTGCAGGAGCAGGCTCACCAGGCACGAATAGTGGCATAATATGGGATGCTACGTATACTGAAGCAGCAGTTGTATTTTGAGCTGGACTAGCGCCTAAGGCTTTCCATGTCACAATTGGGGACAAGGCATGCAGGCAAAGGATCATGAACGTGAGCGAACTATCGCCGGCAACACGCAAGATGCCTGGCATATCCTACTGCATGCATGATGGATGTTTAAGCAGACCTGGTTGTTGCAGTGCACGGTCGCACTTCTGAACATTTCTGAACATCACACGGCCTGTGAGCAGGTAATCATGGAGCAGTCGGATGTTTCTGCTTCACGTTCCGCGGCTCAAGTTCCAGCAGCCCTGACTGGGACTCGTTCTGCTGTCTTTTTGTTTTTTGGGGGGAGACTGGTTTGGATTTTTGCTGTAAAGCACATGCCTGCATGTGAGGATTAACATGCGCCGGCGTAGCGAAGCCGTCAGCTGCTCGCCGTCTCTGTGATCTTTTGGCTTCCGTCCACTCGACGCTATGGCTGCTACACCGACTTCGTCGTTGCCATCCTCCGCTGGCGACATCGCCTCCGTGTTGATGTCGCTCGCCGACTCCGGCGACTTGGCAACGGAGGTGGCTGCGTGGACGCAGGAGCTAGGCGCGGCCGTGGCTGGTGATGGCGGCGGCTCCTGCGACATCGTTGTTAGTTTGTTGCTTTCTCAGTGCCTGCCCGCCATCGGCGCAACAAGATTGCTGAGGACCTGGACGCCATCCGCGAGACCGCCGACGCGAGCCCCCGCGACGATGTGACTAGCGTTATTGGGGTTGAGGTGATCCTCTATCCGGGTGGCCCTGCCAGGTACCTCGACGAGCTGGTCACCGAGGGCAACGGTGCAGATGAAGATTACAATGGTGGAGGCGTGGCTCCCGATGCTTGTGCTGGTGGCGTGGCGGCTGCTGTCGGCGATGGGGCGGCCAGAACCTCGTCGTCTACGATGGTTGGCGATGAGCAGGCCGGCGTGGGGGATTGGACTCTATATTCGCCCCCGGCGGACCCTGTACACCGGAGTTGACCGTCGAGGCCACGATCTTTGCCGATGCCTTTTTTGAAGGCTGGCCATGTGCTGGCTTCTGCCGTGCGCTGGATGGCGTCTCGGCGGTTCTTCTATGACTTCGGCGAGGCGCCTGCGTGGCTCCTTGACATCTTCACCGAGCGAAGGCATTCATCCATCCTTTGCACGCCGCCTTTCTTTGCCCTGGACAGCGTAACTCAACAGACGTGCCGGCCAGTGTGCCCTCGACAAGAGCTATGGGAGACAAACCCGGGTCAACGGCATGGGCAGCACTGCGGGCTGGCGGCGGCCCAGCTTGGTACCTTCACTTCGACAGGGTCCTGTCGGCCGACAACATTGCCGACGCCCCATCTGGAGGCGACGACGGCGAGGCCCGACGATTGGGTTGGACTCGGACTCGCACCCGGCTGGCGATGCTGGCGGACATCCTCGAGATCCTGCGCAAGGCAGCGGAATCCATGGAGTTCGCCATTTTGGAAGCATCCGACGCACTGTTTGAGATCGCCTTCTGAGAGCCGTCGCTCTTTGGAGGAGTGGGGGCGCCGGGCGGGTGCTGTATGCGTCCCCGCTCCGGCCGCAGTTTGGCGATGGATCCGCCACGACGTTATGCATCGATTGCCAACGTGTGACTGCATGTTCTTCCTCACAGTACCATTTTAGCATCGTAGCATGTTGTGAAGCACATGCCTTGTGCTTGACATGCGCCGGCATAGTGCAGCCGTCATCTGTTGCCGCGCCCGTGATCTTTTCCCACCCACCCACACCTTGGTAGATTTAATCGGCGTGGACCAGACGAACGCGCGGGGCGGGTGGCGGGTGCTGTTGGATCCGCCATACGCGATGCGTCAAATCGCCAGAGGGTCACTGCGTATGCATTCTTTTCACCGTGCCATTTGAGCGGTGTGTTGATGTAGCGTGTCAATTCTTCGCCAGGCTTGGCTTTGCGGGAAACTACTCCTCAATCTTTTGTCTTAGCACCCTTCAGATCAGAAATTTGTGCTAGTTTTGTGCATCAGATATCCCTGGTAGACAACCAGAATCTTAGCAATGCCAAGGCAGCCGGGAGGAGTTGCAAAGTTCCATTTGGACCTTCGAGCGACCGAGCCCGAAGTGCGTGGCTTGGGCAGCCATTGTGAAGCACAACATAATCCCAAACAGGTTGGTCAAAACATCGTAAAAGGTTTGTGCCAAGCAGATCCTGCAGTTAGAGATGTGCAAAAATCATTGTAGACCCCATTGCTGCAGTAGGTGCAGCTGAAAGCGAATTTGCAGATATCAATGTCTAGATGCCATTCATCCCAGACTGTCCCTTTGCAGTCCTCAAGCCGGCGAGAAGCTTTCAAGCAAATCCCAACTCGCTCAGGATTACCGGCACACGGACTTCGTTGAGCTGACTGCTCCACTCCTATCACCGGCCGCGCTTCCGATCGTCTTCAACGACTGTGCCTTGCTACCGTTCTTGTTTTGTTGATGCCGGCTATCAGCAGCACTGCCCAAGTTGGCACGTTGACAAAATCCCACCAAGGCACTGATTGCATCCATGACAGCTCAGACTCGGCCTCGGAAGCGATCATAAGAGTCACTTCAAACAACTTTGCAAGATTCACTTGCAAAGATGCGGGGCACGCAGTGCTTGCCGAGAAAGCTAAGGATTGGGGCTTGGCCGCGGCCTTGAGGGTTCAGGAGGTTTAGGGGCAGCGGATGCTGAAGAGCGCAAGAACGCTTGACCTAAGCAAGCCAGAGCCCGACTGGCACCGAGGACATGGTGTGGTGTAAATTCCTGGCGGATAGGAAGAAACATTCCAGCAGCTGCTTGGCAAACTGGAGATGGAGCATGCTTGTTACACCTATAGGTTAGCCGACCAAGTTTGACAGGCCTCCATCATTCCATCTAGCTTCTTGCAAGAATCTTCTGAGCAAAGCCATGACAAGGCTGCGCGTTGATCGACGCCACCCCAGTCAATCACTTGAACTGGAAACAGGCTGGTCAGGGCAAGTTGTGAGATGCAACTTTGCAAGAGTTTGTGTGAATCTGTCTGCAGATCTGTCATAGTAGTCTTAAAGACCTGCCTGATAAAGAGAGTACGGCCGAAGAAACCCTGTCAAATGTTGCTGCAAGAACGCTCTGGGAGCTCATAGATTTGTGTGGAGGCGATGTCAGCCTTTAGCAGCTTCAGGTCTGTCCTCACTTGGGCGGTCAGGTTTGGGGGTTAGGCACCGGTTCATATCATTCTGAAGATTATGGAGGCCTGTGCTTCTGAGAGGTGCTGCATGTTGGAATTCAGGGGGGCACTCCGGATCTTGAATCTTCCTCTGCCGAGAGACTTGCCAGGCCAAAATCTCAAAGGCCTTCCTGGTATCCTGGCTTAACAGAGGCAACATCTCGGGCTTGGCATGGCATGGCTGCTGCAACTTTGCTAGAAGGCATATGCCAGGCCAAACCTGTGAGCATGCCGACGTAAGGCTGCGAACAAAGATGTATGGCACAAGTATCGCAGCTTGGTTTGAAGCAGGGATTTACAAGATGTATACAAGATGATCGTGTGTCAGAGGTGGCTGTAACAGTCCTGCCTGTTTCCAAAGTTGATTCCAGTCAGACATTCCAAGCCCAGAGGTGGCACCCCTCTTCTTTGAACTTGGCGTATGCACATACAGCTCATAATCTTCTAGCGTGTGCCAGTTGTTCAAGAGTAGAGTATTCAACTCGTGCAAGGGTTCCTGTCATGTGCTTTCTAGTTTGTCCCTTTCTAAGACGTCACTCTACAGCCCGCGCTGTTGATGGATGTGCCGACATACCGGAGTTTTCAGGGGATGAAATGACCGAGATCAGGAAGGTCTTCCACCAATGCCAATGGATGAGAGGAACGAGTAGGGAAAGATTTCTGAACTACTCCTGAAGCAACTGTTGCTCAAATGATGGGATTCCCTCCAAGAGCCGGTCAAAGAGAATAGGCATCCCACTGAGGCAAGTACTGGAGCGGACTGAAGACGTTGAGCTGCATCATCGTGGAGCCTGCAGTGAAAGTGAACAACGTGGAGGCGACGGGCTGCACCCTCTAAGACCCCTACAACTAGGCCAGCTTTAGACTGCTCCAAGCAGAGTGTAGCCCTCACGTGCAACTGCCATTGCAGGAGCTAGAGCTTCCTGGCAATCGCCACCTCATCCGAAAAGCGGGCCGGCGAAAGGCCAACTTCACCTGTGTGGATTTGCATGTTACTCTGCAGATGATGCAGCGCACGCCACTCTAGCCCAAGATTGGAGACGCTCCGCTCGCTTGCTGGAATCAAGAATCCCATGAGTGCACAAGCTTTTCAAACGGAAATCCCCAGAATCGGCTCAGAGATCCTCAGCCCCTCGGCCGTGCAGGAGATGCTGAAGGCGGAGGGTGCAGGACACACCTGATGCAAGAAGTTCTACCTTTAGTTCCAAGCTCTGGAACTGGCAGACTCTTGCTTTCACGTGGAGCAGAGCGCTCAATCACCTGAAAAAAGGAAACTGCATTGTGGGAAGGCATGTTGTTGCGAAATTGCTGCCTTATGCTCGACCTTTGCTGAAATACCTCAAGACCCTAAGCTTAAATCTTGCGGCTGTTCGTGATTGAGGAACAAGGCATTGGCTTGCTTGGTCTGGTTGTTGTCCGCGCAGCTTCAAAGGGTCATGGCATCCTCAACAGTTACAGTGCATCGTGGATAGCTCAAGCTTGCGTAACATTCGCACAGTCCAAATCTACGGGCCCCAAACACCTGCCGCGAGTAGGCACTGCCTTGCGAGCTTCCAGAGCCGCCTTGGGCGCCTGAGGCACTGGCTCTGCTTTGTGTGGGCAAATCCAATCCAATGCGAACTGGGAAGTGCATTGTGGCCTTCTTGACTCGTACTCTTCGACAATTTTGTTACTGCGGAAGTCTGGCACTGCTCTGGTTACTCGCGATCTCTGAAAAGCTCATAGCAGGTGTCATCTGAAGCTTCTAGCACATCATTGCCTGAAGCACCTTCATGTGGTCGGCCGCTCAGTTTATGTTCAAGGAATGTTCAAGGGAGCTGTGCGTGCATGTGAGTTTGAGATGTGTGCGACGCCCTTGTCAGGAACGTAAAGAGTGGCTGGCTGGCTTGGATGTGAAAGCCCTCACTTTCTCTTGCTCTCGCCTCTGTTACTCTCTCGCCTCTCCGTTTCTGCCTCTCCCGCTCTCCTGCTGCTTCGCCCTCTCTGTCACTCTCCCATGTCTCTTCTCCTTCGCGCTCTCTCGCTTCCTCTGCCTCCCTTTTCTCGGTCTGTTTGGCTTGGCTGGCTTCTGTTTTCCCTCGCCGCTCTCTATCTCTCAGTTCTCCTTGTTGCCTGCTGTCCCTGGGTGTCTCTCATCTCTTCGAGATGTCGTTGCTGTAGTTGGAGAGTTAGGCAAAGCTGCCTCTCTTGTATTGTCTATAAGGGTTGGCAAAGGTGCAGATGTGACCTGGACAACAACGAGGCAGTCATGTTCGCATCATGCGATGTCCGGGATGAGCTGCAGCATTTTGGGGCCCATCTCTGGCAGCTACCGGACATTACCATGGTGCAGTCGAGGGCCGAAGGCTGCACTGCTGAAGAGTCACCTTTGGAGAGTACAAGTATGCCACAGTGCCTGATGCCCCGATTGTGTCACGTCACATGTCAACAGGCCCCGGCATGTGGTAGGGCCAGTGCAGCAACATACTGGTAGCAAAGAGTCGCTTCGCATATTCCTAGACGTGCTCGGCGCCAAAGTGTGACTTTGTCGTGATGCCTGGAGCCAGGTCGCATAGTGGTGCCGCAGGCTGAAGCAAGAGTTGGGGGTTATACATGGCTGGGGTACCTTCAGGCAAATCGGTGAGTGCAGTTTTTGGGTGTCATTCTTGGGGAGACCATTGACACAATTCGTGGATGATATTCAGCTTCAGTTCAAACCCCAAGTCGAACATGCAGGGGGGCCTCCGGGTGCAGACTTCGAACATGTCCTCAGGGCCTTCATTTCCAGCAAAATGTAGTGTTTGAAGATCTCAAGCCGACACCGTCAGCTGCTTTGCTCAGGTGTTGTCCTGCTTGCAAAGCCTGTAGCCATGGCAGCTGAGTGGTGTGTGACAGACTTTCATTTGGGGCTCTTCCTCAGGTCTGAATTTCTCGCCTACATGGTAATGCATGACCAGTGCCCTCCTGTCGTAATGGACAAGCTCATGCGCACCTATCGTGAAGCAGTTGTTTCCGCATTGCTGCGTGATGCCTGCAAAGCCTGTGCTGGCAAGTGCCTGGACATGCGTGACGTGGACCCAGCCTCGGGTACAGAGCAGCTGATCTCTGCAATTCGCACTAAAACCACTGAAGTCATCCTGGGTCCGCGGTGCCGCTGGAAAGACGGTGGTGTGGCCTATGAAAGCTCCGCGGATGCGCTTCGTTTGCGTGGTGGGAGGTACTTCTTGACAGTGGTCTCAAGTGGAGACAGGCTGTCACCACAGTGCATCGCACGTGCTAGTCTGTGCCACTATGTGCTGTCCAAGCTCCTGGGTGATGTGGATGCCAAGAAGTTGGGGCAATGTGTGGCCATCATTCGAAATGACGGCCGTGAGGAGACATTGGACATCAGTAGATATTTCGAGCTCCTGGCAACACAGCGCAGCAGCTTCGTGGACTTTCTGCGCCTTGACGGCTTCTGGCCATTGGTAGCAGCTTACAGAAATCAGTGTCTGATTTCCCACGAGCCAGCACTGCGCCAGGAAGTGCGGTCGTCAGCCAGAGCCCAACGCTCATGACCTTCACCTTCGTCCGGAATATGCTGAGGCTGCGAGGAGGCCCGAGTCCGATTCTTTTTGTAGTTGTGCTTAGAAGATGGATTCTTCAAACTGTGCACTTAAGACCGGTGAGACCATAGAGGCCTGACAAGCAAATGATGCCTTGCGGGCCTTACAGGCTTAACCAATCCTTCAAGATGCATTTTGCGTGCGTTAGTGCAAAGATTCATGGTTGTCCTCATCAAGTCTAAGCATAGGCATGGCACTGTAGTATCACTGTCGTGTTGCGGGCCAGTGCTTGTTTCGCCAGGCGGTTGCTGGCTTTGGACAGCCTGCTCCTCATCCCTGGCATGACGGCATCACTTCGTCGAATGCTGAGCCGCTCATCTGTCATGAGCAATGATGGGTCTTGCTGGGCCTCCGGCGCTGAGGCCAGCGCTTGACCTGAAAGCCCTTTCTTCTTGTTTTCCGCAAGGACGTTATGGCATTGACACCATGAGCAAGCTCTGCCGAGCCTCCGGTGTGAGGAACCTGCCGCAGGAGGCAGGGCCGGGATCAAACATTTGGTTTTCGCTGGCTAGATCCCACCTGCAAGAAGGGACTCTTCGGTAGGTTTTCCAGCAGCTGCGTCGGCATGCGCAGCACCAACGAGGCGAGATTGAAGTCGCCGGAGCCTTCATCACAGCCTCTCAGGAATCTGGTGCGGTCGTTGATGTCGTTGCAGGCCATTTCAGGGATGTACCTAGTAATTATATAGCGACACTGTAGCAACAGATCCAGTCAAAAGCTTCCATGCCCGTGCAGCAATCAAAAGACGTGATGTTGAAGCTGGCCAGGCAGCCACCCGTCTCAGAACGTTTTCTTGGTTGGGCAGTACGGGGGTCCTGAATTTTGCGAATTCCAAGCCACTTCCGTTGATTTGCAGCGCTTCGTCATGCAGATGGTGAGTGTGTCCGAAGTGTACTACTTCGGTCGCGGAGTCTGTGAGCACATTCTGCTCTCATGCCTGACCCTGGATCGGGCAGACCTGGTGGGCAAGGTCGTTGAGCACATGTACGGCAAGGCAATGTGGATTGATATCCAAGCACAGCTCCAAAGTGTTTGCATGAGCGAGTCAATGGAAGCTGGGGCCTTGTGGTACATGCCTGCTCATCAGTCGCTTGTGCAGCTGTAGTGAACCCTGTCAGGACATGCTGAAGCTACTTGCTGGGCGGCAGGATCACCAAAGCTTCCATCGTTTGCCAGAGCTCATTGAGCTTGCCAACAGCCAGGCCTTGCAGCAAGAACAGCGCCGCGAGGCCAAGCAACACTTTTGCAACGTGGCGAAGGCGAAGATCAAGGCACTGCAGCGATTGTCAGCTTTTGCCAAGAGCCGTGGCAGATGTTCTCCTCAGGAGCAGAGCCCCCTCATCAAAGATCTCTTGTGCCTGTCTGGAGGTTTCAATGGCAATCGTCTCGGCAACGTGGGAGGCTGGCCGCAGCATGTGTGGGACATCGCCAGGAAGTGGCCAGACTACTTCAAGCATGACCACCTCTGGAGTCTGGTCGATGCCATCAACCTGTTTGCATCTCCTGAAAACGCTTGGACTTCGCACGTTTTGTGCTTGTCCAACTTGACTTGTGCCAAGCTTGCATATAAAGCTTTCAAGAGTCACCTTGCGCTTAGAGTGCCCCTTGCCGCAATCTTGAGGTGCAGAGGAGAATGCGCAGGTCAGGCGTTTTCTTGATCGCAAATTCATGGTGGAGGAGCTGGAACTTACCTATACATGGGACATGGATCAGGAAACCACAATCAAGGACAAGGATGAGGTTCTGGTGCGTGGGGATGCAAGCATGAGAGGCAAGGTGAAAAGCATCAACCACAAGGGCAACGGAAGGCAGTCCCAGATTGTCCTCGTTTTTGACACACGATTTGGCAAGAACCCAAACCTGCAGCTGCTGATAAGTCCTGTCTACAAGCAGATATGCATCATGCAGGCAAAGTTCTCTGTGCAGAATGGCGAGAACATTATGACAAAAGCGGTGGAGCAGAGGATTGCAGACCTGGTCATGCAGCAGTGGGTTGACATTCAGCCAAGCTTTCGAGGCTTCCTGCTGCGCGAGGCTGTCCGAGAAGAGCCCATGCGAGCAGAGCAGACCAACGACGTTGTCAACGGCATGGATGGCCAGTATTTGATCATCCAAGGACCTCCAAGCCTGATCAGATTGAGAGGGACATGAAACATCGAGTCATATGCCTGCTGCGCGCAGCTGAGGAACAGGAAAGACGTTCGCATCAGCAGGGACTGTCCAGAGTATCTTGCGCAATCGGCCTGGGGCGCGTATCCTTGTTTCGTCCAACAGCCACAAAGCCATCCGAAACTTGCTCAATGCTGTGGCCAACCTGGATGTTGGTGTGGTTGGCAAAGTGGTGAGCCAAGATGAAACGGAGCAGGAGATTCGTGCAGAAGGTTGTGTGCCCGTGGCAAATGGAAGGATGATCAGCTCCTTGGTTCAAAACGGATGAGGGTCGAGGGGGGTTAGGTCTGTTGGAAAATAAAGGATCGAAAGAGGGACGGAGTAGACGATGTCTGCACGAGGGTATGGGTAATTCCAAAATCTTGGTGCCTCTAGAGGATCTTCAGGAGCGGCCGAGGCTAATTTCTCGCTGTGCTTTGCTGTGGCACTGCTGCCCTTGTGACTGCACTGGTGGTTACCTGCTGGAGTTGTGTTTAGCCTCGGCTTGATGCTTAGGTCTGCCATTCGGCTGTGCAGTGGCAGGCGGTACAGCCTCGCAGCTGATGAAAGTATCTGGAGCTTTCGATTTCATTTTCGTGGACGAGGCGGGGCAGGTAACGCTCGAACTTCTGGCTGTTCTGGCCAACCTTGCAAGGAACCTTGTGCTTGCACCTTGGCGGGAATTGACTAAGTATGCTGCATTCCGCAATCAAGAGTCTCATGAAGTTTGTGTTGAGACATGCAATCATGCGATGAAGGAGAGCCGGGGCGGTAAGGGGTGGCACATGGGCTGAGGCAGGCGACCAACAGCAGCTGGCCCCTCCGGTCCAGGATCGGCTGAAGCTCACCGATGCTGGTGGCATCAGCTGCTTGACTTTCTTCACACAAGGAGACACGCCCATACTCCATCGCATAGCCAGACACAAGGTACTCCTGAATTTATCACCCATGGAAGAATTTGCAGCCGCCAAGAAGCCAGGAGAGGCGATCGTAAGCCCACACTGCGGCATCTTCTTGTCCTGTACATACAGGATGAGCGACCGCCTGACGGAGGTGCGCTGCTTTTTTTGTTTTTTTGTTTTGCAGTGTTTGTCCTGCCATCGGTCTCACTTCTCCACAAATGATTTCATCCGGCAAGTGACATGAATGTTCATGTCTTCGACATCAGCGACAGAATGGCGGCTGCCAGCTCCGCAGAGAGTTTGCTGCTTTATTTGTAGCCTCCACTTTCTTGCCCTGCGAGGTCATTTCCAACAGTTTCTATGCTGGTGGGCTGGAAGCTCATCCACGCAACAGTGGCAACCGTGTGATCCTCTCGGAAGGCCAGACAGGAGAGCATAGCCTGCGCTTGTCAGAGTTCTGCGAAGAAGCCCATTTGGGAGGCTTGCTTACGATGGAGACTGGTGCTGAGTTTGTGCACGTGCCGCACGAGAGCAATGTCCAGTCGTCGGAGGACTTCTTGGCTCTTTGTTCACGCTAGCAGTGTCGCCGGCGGGGTGCCTTCCGCTTTTGGGCGGACGCAGAGTTGTTGCTGCGCCGGACGGGTCAAGTGAAGTCTGGCTAGTTGGCATATGTACTGGGTCTGGTTGGCGTGGTAGAATGATGCTATTCTCTTGGAGAACACTGCTACTGCCCAAAAACAGAAAGCTTTGATTCGAGCTTCACATCTGAAGTCTGAGGCTTCCAGGGCCGATCCAGTTTTAGCCTCCAAGGCTTCAGGTAAGCACCTGGCGAACTGAGCTTGACAGCAACTGAATTGCAGTATGAAGCGCTGTACGGAAAAAACTTCGGGGGATTTCTCTAATCTAGTCCAGATGTGACTTATTCACCCTCCTTCACCGCTCTGCTGTGAAGGGAGAGTCTCGCCAGGAGGAGTGTCACGTGGTGCAGGAGATTATCCATCAGCTGCTGCAGAGCCCGGCGCGGCTCCTTGCACGTTCGGCCATTTTTGGGACGACAGCCAACCACAGGTGATTTTGGATGAGAATGCGCCACGGCGGTTAATGCCAGAGGACATCATTATTGTTTGTCCATACAATGCCCAAGTGGTCATGATCAGGCGGGAGAGCGTTCGCTTGTGACTCTTCAACGTGTCGCGGTTTGGGGTTGCCTAGGACTAGGCTTACGGCTTGTTTAGTGTCATGGCTTCTTTCAAGTTGAGGGTATAGGGTGGTTTAGGGCTTTGGGTGTGGGCTTGTTTGCGGCTTAGGTTTGGCATTTTAGGGCTTTGAGTTTGGGTTTGTTCATGTTTTACGGTCTTGGGTTTCTGATGGGTCTGGCTTTGTAGGGTTCTGGGTTGAGTGCTTGCATTTGTTCAAGCCTCATGATTTGAAGCGGTTTGGGATTGTTTCGGGCTGGAGCTTCTTCAGGGCTGTGGGTTTGGGGTTGTTTTCTAGTTTCGGGTTGTTTAGTTGTTTAGGTTGGATTCTCCAGGGTTTGGGGTTGGAGCTCTGCATGAGAGAGGTCAGAAGTCCTATGGACCCCCAACATTGATGACCCTAAGTGAGAAGGCACACGTGCACCCTGGTACTGGCTACTAAATTAGTGTAAGTGGCAGCAAATCGGAGCTTTGAAAAGAAACCTGACGGGCGAAGGCGCAAGTGATGAGATTGCTGTCGTATTTTTTCATCCGGTTGACAAAAACTGACTTAAGTCAACACAAGTCGACCATCAATGAGTGAAAGCACAAGTGAGTATCCCCTCGCATCAGGCTCTCGGGGTTCATAAATTTCACAAACAAAACAGCAAGTATATTTCTCGAGTGCAGCAAAGCGAAACAAAAGATGGGTCCTTCGCAACACAGAAACGGACTGTTCCGGTGTTGATAATTGTGGTGTGAATGAGATACTGCAGACAAGCAACTGGAGATGATAGCACCGCTCAGTTCGACTCTTGATGCTCTTGAAGAAGTTGAGATGGCGCTGCAAGCAGGTAATGGTTAGCAACATGCGCTTTTATGCTAGCAGGTCCACCTTGGCTGCAGATCCCACAATGCGTGGAATACGCACAGGATCAGTCGATCTTTTCCAAGGGCAGGAGGCGCTGGACGTTCGAAGGGGCTTAGCAGAAAGGGTTCCGAGCTTGAGCTGTCATTTTGTTGTGCATCCGAATTGCCTTTCAGCACGACCCCTTAGGCTGCAGTGGCGCTTATATCGCTGGGTGCAAGTTGTGGGCGCTTGGCGTTCGTTCTGGATCCCAACAGGACAGAACACCTTAGCTTAGCGGCTGAGTGGCATAGCAGGCCATACTTGACCTTTTAGAAGACTGTGATTCTTTACCCTTGTTTGGCTTGGGCTTTTAAGTGACAGTCCAGAGGAAGGTCCAGGCAGTGTTGTATGGCATTCATGGAGCCCGAGAGGTGACAAGCGACTCAAAGAATAAGCAAGCTTTCAAGCAAGTAGGCAGCTGACTCTTATACATTTCTTGCCTTGTGAACTGCAGTGTATGAATGCTGCACATGCCCAAGCTAGGGAGATATGTGCATTGGCCTGTGACCAGCAGTAGGATGTTTTGCAGTTGTACTTCAGCCAAGAGCTTGGCACATAGTGAAGGACCAACGTGGCGCTATCACGTGCGCGAGCGCTGGCTGTGGTGGTTGGCAGTCCTGCCTTGAGTGAGTGCCAGGTGGAGACTGTAGAAGAGTTGTCACTGCAAAGTCGCTACATGAACTGGTTGCGGCAAGCTTTCACGCAAAGCACGCGTACAAGTTGACAGTCAATCAGAGGTTCTTCTAGCTAGAGCAAGCGAACGTATTGAAAGCTGGAGAAATCTTGAGAACTTGTCAGAGCACAAATTGGTGCTGTTCTGTTCTTGTGGGGCTGACGTGTGCCCCAACTGTGTTTCCAATATCCTAGCGATGCAAAGCCGTGTCGTTCTGGCACTTGCTTGCTAGGGTTGGAAGCATGGACGATTTTTGGCCGTCATGTATGCAATGAGAAAAAGCCTTGCAATTCATAATCTCCCGGCAAACAGATGTAGTCATCAACTGTTGGCTGCATAGGGTTGTCAAGCAGCAGGGGAAGTTCCAGAAGTTCTAGAAGCTCCTCGCGCTCCACGTGCCCCGAACGAACCGTCCAGGTTCGCCCTTCAGACTGATGTGGTGAAGATACTCGAGACGTCAGTTGCATATTGTGATCTACCAGCATGAAGCTAGAGGCTTTTGATGTCAAGCCCCTGCCTGGCCTCTTCAAGGCCACGTCGTCGAACGAAGACTGCGGCCACAAAGCTGCGAAAGGCCTGTCCTTCTGTTGGCAAGGCAGCGAAAGGTTTCTGGTACGCCAAGATCTCTGAGTCGTGGTTGAAAATTTGTTAGCCTACAGTTCTGCTGTTCAACCTTTCGTCACCTCAACAGAATCTTGAAGAGTGGGGTGTGGGATGCTCAGCTTGACCCGCAATTGCTGCGATAGGTTGAGAAGGTCTTCAAGCAACTGCAGTCCGAGGCCGGAGGTCTCTGGCGATGCACAACTTATCGGATGTCTTAGTACTCAAGTTCTTCTAGATTTAGCCAGAATGCAGAAGCACAGCAGCGATGGCCCAGTTGACGGAGGTAATTCGGCTGCAGCGGCTTGTGCGTGAGCGATCTGCGCCGGCAGATAAAGGCCGGGTCTCCTGATTGTCAGTCAACTGTTGCAAAATCTTCTTTGCAGCAGCTCTTGCAGCTCCCCTATGCTGCCTCCTGCAACCCCAGGTCAACCAACATCTCTCGTCCAAGTCTCAGCAAGAAAGACTGCGAGATGCAGCTATCAATTGACATGCCGGGACTGTTCGGGTATGTGACGAGCACAGCCCTATGCAATAATTGCAATTGCAGTCATTTTGAGTGAGCAGCGGAAGCATGTATGCACCTTCAGGATGCTGGAGGCTATGCCAAGCATAAGCTGGTAGTCTTTGAGAAGGGGTAATGTCAGTGGGGTGAAGCAGGGTGTCGACTGTCCACCTCGCAGGCTCCTGATCATGTGGAGCCTGTGGAACACCGCAACCGGCCGGGGCTCCTGGCTGGACAGGACGATTCTTTCACTCAACAGGTGGCCCAAATCAATACTATTTTAGACCGACAGAAGCGCAACTCAGAAGCTGTGTGAGCTACCAAGGTCAAGCTAGACATGGCTTTGCTTGTTATCCTTGAATCTGAGGAACTCGCAGGGCCCCCTACATAAACTGCATCTAGACCTCATTCGCCGTCTCTCCTCTTTAAGAAGGGAGGCAGCTGAGAAAGCAACAGGAGACAGGGGAGGAGCGAGGGGGCAAGGGGAGGGGGGAAACGCTCAAAAGCCAGGGTGGGACCAGCCACTGGACCGGCAGCCAAGCCAGAGAAAACGACCAGAAAGCTGAAACAGCCAATGTATCTGTCCACGTCTTCTCTCCTCAAGGGACCTCTTCAACACGTGGAGACGAACCTTGATGGACCCGTTTGGTACTGAAAGTCCGCACTGCGAATGCAAGCCAAAGCCAAGGAGCGATAGGGAGGGTTGGCATTTCTCTGCTTGGCTTGGTGCGACGGTTCAGAACAGGGTCTCAGACGTGCAAGCTATGTATGCTCACAGCTGTAGCTTGTCAAGGGTCAGGTTTTGCTGAAGTTTTGCTGATTGCTTCTGCCTTGCTGTTTGTGCATTGTAGATCAGAGATCGGAAGCAAGGACTTTTTGAAAGCAACTGCAGTTTACAACTCTCGGGCGTTTTAGAAGAGGTTGCAGACAGCGCAAAACCGAGCTGTCAGCAGAGACTGCCGCAAATGGGTTCAGCCATAGCTGGGACTTGCTAAGGGGAATTTGTGACGGATTGCTCCAGAAGAAGACTTCCTAGCACAACTTGCCAAGGCTCCCAGCGCCGCCCAGCGAACGTGCTCCATCTGAGTCCTCACCACAGGCAACTGACTCTGAGGCCGGATTTGTGCTGACTAATGCTGGCAAGTTGTCTTCTTGCCTGCGCATCGACGCAACATGTGTTGAGATCATAACTACTCGGCAAGGTGCCGGCAGAGTCACTACCTGCTCCGACTCTCCTCGAAATGCCACCTTCCAGGCCAGGGCTCGGGCCTGAAATCATGACATAAGCGGACACACAGTTCAGCCATTGCCAAGAAGGCACGGTGACGCAGCCAGCTGCACCTCTGACCGTGTGCCCTCAGAGGGTGACAGGCCTGGAGTGGGAATTAGACCAGGCAGCTGCCAGGTTAAGATGTAGTCAGTTCCTGCAGCTGTCAAGCCTGAACTCCCTCTAAGAAGGTGTAAGGCAGTGCTCATTAAACCTGTCTTGCTATTCTTGCTTCACCCTGAAGCCCTTTGGCTCTCTCATAGGAAGGTCTCACGAGGTTTTGAGAGCTTGGAAAATCTATGGCAGAAGACTCGCCGCTGCTGAAGCTGAAAGATGTGGCCGAGCTGAGCATTGAGAAGTAACCAAGAGGTTCAAGAATTGCCTGACCTCGCTAAGCATGCGGCTGTTGATGCTGGCCTGCCGCTGGAAAATGCGAAAATTGCCCGAAGCATCTCGCAAGTGAACTGCATGCAGCGTGACAAGCCACCTTTAATTGCCTCTTTGTAAGAGTTTCTTAGCGTCTCTGCAACGCTGTAAGCCTTGTAAGCCCTCTCTCCAGTTCACCGAGCTCGTTCTTTCGGGATCATTCCGGGATCCGCCGCAGCTCGCACTTCGTTTTGAGCATATTCCGCACTTCAGTTCTGCGGAAGCGTGCCGCTGTCGCTATAGCGCTCTGGGACTTGTGTTTGGACAGATGGTGCGTGGCGTCAAACTTGCGGCCTCCTGATGGTTCCCGAACCGACCCGTGTACAGTTCACCTCAAACAGCACAAAAAAAAACGAAGGAACCACCACTGAAAGGCAATAGATTCAATAGATACCACGGACACCAAAGCGTCGAGTCTGAGGTGGAGCAAGCGCTCGGCCAGGATCCGTATATGGGCTCCCTTCGCCGAAGAGTGCAGCGGCTCATGGGCTCGGAGCCTTGGGCTTCCTGCGCAGCATTGCGCAGCAGTCTTGCTCAAATCCTTGAACGAGCATGAAGTAGCATCCAGTCATGGAGCTTTGGAGTTGACATCACCACTCCCACTTACCTCTCCCTGCCTCCATGCAGACAACCAGAAATGCCTAAGCCAAGACACTTCAGCATTCAAGCCCCTTTTGCGTAAAGCCTCGAAAATGATGCCAGATCTCAGGAGAGCAACCCCAAGTTTGCAGAGCATGCCGAGCATGCCTTTCGCGGAGCTTTCGCGCTGGTTTCTCGAGGAAGTGAATTCAGCTTCTTCGCACTTCTGGGTCTGTAGGAGGAGTCATAAAGGCAGCATTCAGGCATTATATGAGTGCTGAAGTCAGAACCTCGCAGGGTCAGAGATGGTGTGTTGGGCCAGCCCTCCTCATGGATGGTCATCCTATATTGTCAGGAAGGGCAGCCCTGTTTGCATCATCCTGTGCGCGCTCAAGCCGGCTCAAAGCAAAGTTGTGGTCTGGAGGCAGATGAGAGCTAAGGTTTTCTTCTCCATTCCCATTATCATGCCCAAGGGCGTGTGGCCCTTCCGGGACAAAGTGCCTCGGAAACAATATTCCGATCCCCTTGACCAAACGTTTTTCCGCTTTGACGTCAAAACTTTGAGGTTGGCCAAGGGCCTTTTTGCATGCCAAGCCCGGGATATCTAAGGTGATGAGCTTGGGTGTCTACTCCGCCGGCGTCTGCATGCAGCCTGCCTGCATCCATAGACTGTTGCTGAGGATCATGACTTGAATCCTGATTTTGGGTTGTGGAAGTTTAAATGTCTGCCTTTAGCTTGACTCTTGACGCCGGAAACTTGACGCCGGAAAGGTTCATCGTCTTAAACCTTGGGATCTCCTTCGGCCAGGCCACGGGAAGATGTCACTGTAATACATTGTAGTATCAGGCTGTGGTGACACACAGTGACGATGCAAATGACACTTGATCTGCTTTCTCGCAGGCCTTCAACAGCTGCAAGTCAGGATTGCAGGGAACACTCCTCTCCTCGATGATGGGTTGGCTCATGCCCCTTGGATGCAATATTTCTGTTTGCTATTGAAAGTTTAGGCAGAAAGATGTAGCACGTTATGGGCACTTCTTGAGGTTCGCTGTAACCTCACCAAAGTTGTCTCTGTGAGCTTTTGAAATTTCAGGGTGTGCGGGATGCGCGTGGAGCCGCAGCTATCTCTTTTCATGCAGTTTGTCCACAGATGCGCGCTCGGCGTCCAGGTACACGCTGTACCCCGAGGGCTACCTAAGCAGCTCTCCCGAGTCTGTCTTCTATGGCGGTGTCGCAGTTGGAGTGATTTATGTCAGTGTCGTGATGTCTCTTCGGCTCCTTGGCTTTGAGGTGCAGAGTTTCTCCGTGAACTGTGCAGTGAGAATTCCCTTTTTGTGAGTCCTGGATGCCATGGCTCACTGGATGGGATTCCTTACCATCCCAACAAGCAGCCAGCACAGGTCCAGTCCACAGTTTTGTTCAGGTTTGGCATCTCTTTGCAAATGTTTGCACTGTCCAACTTCGCGGCCACGTGGATGGACTTCCTGAGCCTTGACACATGTAGCGGTCTTCGCATTTTTCCAGGACTTGACACAAAAGTTCCTGAAGACTTGAAGACATGAGGAACGAAAAGCAGGAGGCCAACATCATGCCTCCTTGGGCTCCTGGATGGAGCATTGAGAAGGACTCGTAGGAAATTGCAGCCGTGACATTTTTAAGTCCTGAGAGTTGAACACTCTCGTGTCAGGACATTCTGTCCCAGAACTTTGTTTGCACCTCGTCCATGGTGGCATCGTGTGACGGTGTTGTGCAGTCAAGGATTTCGTTTTGGGTCGTAGCTGCTTGAACGATGAGTCATACGGCAGACACTGATCCATCGCCTTGAATCCTGAGACATTTGGAGTGGCACTGGTTGCTCGCAGCCTCGTTTATCCTGTCCTGTGGTCTTAATTCTCGGGCAAGGTACAGGGCTGGGCATGGTGGCAGTGATGATCGCCAGCTTGTTCCCTTATCCAAGCAGCTGAGAAGAAATTTCGGTGCAGGGAGAGGTGGGGCTGGCAGTATCGATTTGGCTTATCCGTGCCGTGTCTGGCCGTAGGAAGCTTGTCAAGTTGCAACTCTTGATTGTTTGTAGGGATGCGCCTCGGAAAGCTGAGGATGGTCCCTTATGTTTGTGACCGAGCGCCAGCTCAATGCGAACCTGCAAGTGGTCCAGGCGGTCCACTGATCTAGGACTGGATCGATACATCTGGTCTCAAAAGGGATCAGTGCCCAGGTGTTGAATGCCGTGATTGCCGCTTCCTAAGAAACTTGAGGCTGTCATGAGGGGTGTCTCTATGCCATGGCAACCTCCTTTCAACTGCCCCAGCAGGTTTGCTTGGGAGCATACAGCTAGGCATTAAGCACATAACGCAGTTTGGGTGCTTGCACAACCAAGCCACGGATGGCCGCAAGTGCAGGTGCTGGAAACAATTGTGATGTATTACTCGCACAACAAGCCGAATGTCTACGCAAAGGATCAAGTCATCCGCAGGCGGGGTGCGTCCTGTGTGACAAGCTTGAAGCGGTACACGCCCCTGAACCAGTGCCTTTGGCAGCTCCCAGTTGGACAAGCACCATCTTGTTGCCAGAAAGCCGTGGCCACGTGCAATTCACTTCTGTTCTGGTTCTAGAGCAAGCTCACGGGCGAGGTCTTCTGTGCACGAGTTAGCGCTTGTGCCCAAAAAACCATGAAGTATCCTCGGCCACCTGCTGCATTGCACAGGCTCAGCAAGCTGAGACTCTTGGCCGGGAAGCTGTAGAGCAAATCGGCCGTTGGCTACCACGCTGCCACTTCTGCTCGCGAGCCAAAGTCAGAGAATCCTGGAAACTCAGGAGGGATGCTACAGGACAACGACACCTTGCTGGCTGCGGCCTGGTGGGAGTGTGGCCGGGAAGGAATTAGGAAAAGACTTTCATCTTCAGGACTCTAGCTTTCGAGCTCTCCCACGGGGTCTGCTCCAGACATCAAGTAGTGATCAACCAGAATTCCTGGGGGCGCATGTCAGGTTATGGTTTGGGCCGATCACAAGTCAAACGACGTGTTCTGGCATCCATGGACAAAACTACCCACACGCTGAGTGACATGAAGCTTTGCTGAAATATTTGTGCTGCTTGCGTCATGTATCTACGACCTGTTCTGTCAGCGTGCTGACTTTTCCGCTGAATGTCGCCGGAAGCGCGTTGATACATGTTCACAGAGCTTGCAGACACTCGTTGCGAAGTAGTGTGAGGTGTCTGCGTGGGCCATGTGTGACCTTGAGCCAAGGATTTGGAATGCTTGGCAGGAATCCATCTCCGAGGAGGTAGGGCAGATGGATGCAGAGCTTATGCGCCAAGCGTGGCTCGCAGTCTTTTAACCATGTCCTTCCAAAGCATGGCGAAGTGGTTTCAGTGGCTGTTCATGGCACCCTTCGAAGTACGGGGGGAGGAGTCGGTGAGTGGTTGTGACTCAACTCAGGAGGCCCAGCATTGAGGCAGTGCTCCTCGGCTTTTTTTTCTTTACGGCGGCTTTTGGGGTTTTGCGCTGCTCTCAAGCCGACCGACTCTCTGGTGACCTGAGGTTAAAAGCGATGCAAGTTACGCTCAACTTGCTGGTCAAGGCGCTCCTTGCAGTTGAAGCTGGAAAGCGTGTTGCCTCCTGCTGCATCGAGGCTGCCTCCGACGGAGAACTGGATAAGGCAGAGGTGGTGGCGCTACAGACTCTTGGCTGAATTGGCTTGGAGTCCGACAGATCGCAAAGCAGTGGAAAGGAGAAAGCTGTTTGTGTTCCAGACCGGCTGCCCAGGCAAGGCTTCAAGGACTTGGAGGAGAAAGACAAGGCACGGTGTTAAGAATGCAAATCAACTGCTGAACCCAACAACATTTCCCCTTGCACAGTCGAGGCGTCTGTTTGAAGGAGTGTGAAGGTTTCCCCACGACATGCCCGACTGTAGCATCCGCGCAGCTGTCTCAAGGCTCTCGCGGATGTCCTGAATCAAGCTTTTGACCTGCAGGGTCATCATGGATGAGGGGATAACTGAGGTGTTTCGAATCAAGTGATGGGGTCCTGAGGGAAGGGATACAACCGACACGTTAAGTTCCTAAACCCTAGATCCTAAACCCTAAAACTACTGAGTGACCAGGCATAGGGGTGACTTGAAGACCGGTGCCGCAGACCTGACAAACAAAGCTGAACCTAAATCCTATCCACTGCTTAACGCAGTGCGTTCAGATTTCAAGTTGCCAGGAGATGTCCAAGCAGTTCGCCATGGCCCGTAAGGAGATCACAAAAGGTCAGCCCATGGCCATCTACAGGGACCGGGCCTCTCTCAGTGTTCGGACCACATGTCGGTTTGGAACTGCCCTTGCTGATGAGGGCACAGTGAGTTGTGAAAGTCATTAGCTTGAAGCACCAACTTACTTTCGTCCGCGTCTGACTGCATCTTCTTGCCTTCTGAGCGTGCGCGTGTGGGACAGCTTTCGAAGGACGTGCGTGTTGCACAAGTCCTGCTGTTCAGCATTAGCCGGGTGGCGGCTGAGTCAAATGGCAAAAGCTTTCTTCTTGAGCATCATGCGTTTACAGGATGATGCTGTTCATTGTTGCCAAAATTCTGAAGACCAGCTTGTCTAGAGCGTGAACAAACCTGCTGAACTCAGTACATCCATGCTGCAATGGCTCAACATCATGTAAGGTATTGTCTGCCAGCAATTCTGTTCTGCTGTAGATTTTTTCAAGATTCAGCGGGTACGCTAGGGGCTAGGGCCAAGAGCCGAAGTAGAGGCCGCAAGGCGCAATACACTGTATGTTTGCATTGTGCCGCAGCCCCACTTTAGCGCCCGGCAGCCGGGTGTCAACCCAAAAGCTTGGTCACCTTGAAGTAAAGTTCACCTCTGCGCGCTCTATGAGTCAATGTCTCGATCAGTCTTCCCAACCTTAAGCGGGTGCACGCTCACACGTGGACCCTAGAGCCCTGGAGTTTTTTGGGGTAGCACCTTGGGCACATCTCAGGTTTCGCAAACAGTTGAGCTGGCGGACAAAATTCAACAGCAGAGCCTGGGACTGCTTTTGGGTGTAGGCACAACATGTTGAGCCTTCTGCTAGGCATGCAGAGTGGAGGTTCATTCTTTTCTCCTAGGATTCCCACAGCCGTGTCACACTTAGCTCACGGTGTCCTTGACTGAAATCAACGTTGACCCAGGATGTCAAGGCAAAACTTGCTGCCGCCGGCACCAGAACTGGGCGGCTGTGGAGCACTTTTCTCAAACCTTTTGGAGAAGGCAGCTCATGGATGCTGATGGAATGCATCTGGGGTCAGTCAGGAGTAGAGAGGGGCTGAGTTGCAGCTGATGTCAATTGCTTCTGGCAGATATCAGCAGGGCGTCATTTGCGAGTAGCTGAAACTGTTTTTGACACTTCCGATGTCCTGGCATTGAGGACCACGTGATCTACGTGGCGAGAGGATGGCTTGCCTACATGCTGTCAATCCTGATAGGCTATTTGCATGCAGAACACTTTTTATTGCAATGTAGGGCAAGCTATGAACTCTTGATTTTTTAGGGTTGCCATGATAAAGACACCGAACTTCGGCCTAACGGCACAGCCTATGGTGTTTCTTTTGCATCAGAATCTCGGGAGTGCCTTTTTTGTATGCCATCCCTTCAATGCTGGCAAACAAGACTTGGCTGCTAGCAACCTACGCCTTAAGGTTGGTATGGCTGGAATGGCATCGTCCCTGAGCGAGCTTCAGCCATAGCTGGCACCACGCCATTCTTGATAACCATGCTTCTCATCTGAAATATTGTTTTTCTGCAAGCCATCGCAAGCTTGTCAGCTTGCTCAGGTATGTTGGATCCGCCTTGGTCTCGGATTTGAATCGGATCCAGGGCCTCATGCTGGGCCAGGTGATGGCCCGTGTTGTTCGCAGCCTTGTCGAACCTCGTCAGAGATACCCAGATGCCTGGGGCTCCGGAAGCAGGCTTGGTATTTTATTGCCAACATCCGAGCTTTTCTGGCTATTTGTTTTCGTGGAAATGTATTCTCACATAGTGACACGTGTTTTGCCGCCCAAGCAGCCCCTAGCGTAGCTGGTGAGACCTGCCATGTGCTAAGCAACAGGACTTTTCAGTTGTGAAAGTGTTGTGAATCATTGAGCATCCAAAGCCATGCCCTGGTCGAATTGGTCGAATGCTAAGGATAGCTGCCATGCAGATGACTTGATAGAACTCTCGCTCATTACGCTGCCTAACTGCAACAAGCTGCGACTATTCTAAAACCTCCCCAATTCCAGGAGTTGAGATTAGCAAGTTGGACCAGCTCCTGCAAGACGGTCCCACATCACTAGGTAACGAAGCATACCGATGCAGTCCTAAATCTCGACCAAATTTCCACATTGCAAACGCACTCTCTGCATCCAACCTCTTGCCGGAATCGTACAGCTTTGATCCAGGTTCATCTGGGTTTTCCTGGGTGTGCTGGTGAGAGAGCACTCGACAACGCCCCTTGGCACCTTCCTGGTGCGCCTGGATAGTAGATGTACGAAGTGCTGCTGGGTGATTGAACAGTTGAATGATGGTTCTGTACATCAAGGAGCTGTGGCTGTTGTGACAGCAAGCATTCTAGTACCAGCTAGGAGGCTCGTACTGGTCCTTCATGTCACAAGAACAAGCTTAGCAAGCTGCAGAGGAGACTTGAGAAACACTTTGTCTAGAGCGAAGGCTAGGCGCAGGCAGAGTTCCGAACCCCTTAGTTGCTAGCGCCAGCTCTTTTGAACGAGAACAACATGTATCAATGACGTCACGTTTTCCTTCTCAGGTTTTCCTCTGTCGGATCAATGGCAGCCGCCTTCGGGGCCACGACGCCGATCTGGATGCAAACAGTGAGAGATGTGTGTCTGGGGGGAGGAGAAGGATGCCGTGCTAGCCGTGCTAACTCATGTGGGGATCGTCCAAAACCCATGTTTAAAAATCTAGAAGCACGGGGACGCATGATGCAAAAACACTGTGGGCGAAAGCTCGCGAAAGGGCGGCGAAAGGTTCGCGAAAGGTT